CGTGCACAAACACACCCACAAAAAGGCAGAAGGGAGATGCACGGAGAAGAATGCGAGCCCTTTCTTCTAGTTTCGGGGTGTGTGTGTGTGTGTGTTGCGGGAGCTCGACATGCCACAGCGCTCTTAAAATTCGTGGCTTTCCAGGCAGCTGTATGGAAATAATCTTCCACCACAGAATCCGATAGCCCCCGGTGTGGTGTTTCGTAAAGGGGGGCGGGAGAGAGAGTGGGGAGGGGAGGGAGAAGCGTGCCCTAGAAGTAGAACCGATGCAGAGGCAAAACTAGGCAGGCCCGGCCAAGCACGGGAGGGCCATGCTGGAGGCCCCGGTGGCCCGCCTCGGCCAGCGTTCTGCTCGCACCGCGGACAACCCGCTGCCCCCGGAAAGCCACAGCCGGGGCACGGGCGCTGCAGCACCCTCCCGCCCCAGGTCGCCAGCCACCGGGGCGCCTCAGCCACTGGGGGTGGCCTGCAGCCACTGGGACTAGTAGCCGGGGCATAGCCTTCTCTTCCCTTTCTAAATCCACCCAAAGGGTGGGCCGTCAGCCGCCACGTCATGTGGGACTCGGTTCCATAGCCCCGTTATGTCTGAACATCGGGAGAGCTGTGCTGCATCAGGACCAGGGCCCAGCAGGCCCAGCATGCTGCCCCCCAGCTGCCCAAGGGACTCGCAGGCAGGCCCAGGGTGATGGCCCCCTCCCGCCCACGCTCCCTGGCAACTGGTGCAGGCAGGTGCCCTGCCTGTGATGGCAGAGGTAGCCCATAATACCTGGGACGGGCAGCCACGGATACGTTTTCTCTTCCGTGAATTGCTCCAACTGCCTTCTCACGCCACCCGGGTCGTGGCCAGGCCACAATGCCACAAGCAGCGTCCCAGCCCCAAGGCGCCTTGCGAGTCCTCCACCGGCTTCCGTGAGACTTTCCGAACAAGCCAGGCGCACCGATGGCGCATGACGGCCGGCCAAAGACGCCCCAGGAGAAGGCGCACTGGTGCTCGTGCAAGAGCCCTGTGGGCCAAGTTGGGAGAGGTGGAGGCGCTGGTTTTGAAGGAGGACTTCGGTTCAGCGAACATGAGGGAAGCCCGGTGGACTGGAGGGAACCACTGAGCTATGGTCCGCTCTGGAGGAAATCGCCATAGGCAGGGCAGGGAAGGGCTCAGTGGAGATGGCGGGAGACGCAGAACAGAACAAAAGAGGTGGCTCTTCACGCAATGCAGAGCTCACTGAGGCAGCTCATTTCCACCGGATGTAGCGGTGACCACGTCTGGAGGAGAAGCCAGTCCGTGGCTACCGGTCCTGATGGCTCTGGGCTCCCTCCAGCGCTGGAGGAACGATGCCTGTGGGCACCAGTTGCGAGGAAACACCCTCAAGCGTGTGCGTGGCCTGCGTGTGGGCTTCCCACTGGGGCATCTGCCTGAGCAGAACGCTGGGCTAGATGGCCATGGTCTCATCTAGCACTGCCCTTCTGAGGTTTTGAGCCATTGCGTGATACTGAACACAGGTTGTCCATCGCCACTAAAAATGCGAGCTGTGCATCTGAGCCCTCTCCCGCCCGCGCATCACGGCTAGGGGTTCTTCTCCCCTTCCGTGCACTTCCCCACCTCGCGTCGGCAGCTGTTTCTGGAAGGGGCAGGGAGACATGAGGTGCCACGGCCCGGTGGCCACGGGCCCACCAGGCTCTGCACCTGGCCTGCGGCTTGGGAGGGGCCGGTTGTGGAGGCAGAGCCCACAGCTGCGCAGTCCAGAGCAGGGTGGCTCAGCTGAGGACTGGGACTCAGGCGATCCGGGTTCGAGTCCCCGCTCGGCCATGGAGCCAGCTGGATGACTTTGGGCCAGTCACAGAGTCTCAGCCCAACCTGCCTCACAGGGTTGTTGTTGTGGGGACAAGATGGAGGAGGAGAATGATGCACGCTGCCTTGAGCCCTTTGTAGGAAAAAGGCAGGATATAAATAGAAACATAAATAAATAAATAAATAAAAACCACGGCCACCTTTCCTTTCAGCTCGACAATAGCTCTCCATGGGGCTCCGCAGAGGTGGCTCCACACCATGGACAGCTCCCATAAAGCTCAGAAGAACAGCAGCCCTGGATACGGAGTCCCACTGACACAGGCAACCCCACCCCCCTCATTCAGTCTCCAAATAAGATAAGGAAAAGCCCCCGCCTGAAGCCCCAGAGAGTTTCTGTCAGTCCGAGTTGGCACTACTAGCTAGATATCTAGCTCGGGAGGCAGCTTCCTCTGCCAACTGGCCTCATATACCATTTGGGATTTATCTCCAATTTTTTAAAGTGTCTGCCTGCCTGCCTGCCTGTCCGTCCGTCCGTCCGTCCGCCTGTTGGAACCGCAGCCCCATGGCCATGTCATATTGACTGCCTGGAACTTGGCATGCAAGCCAAGAAGACCCGAGTCACGCGTGCAGCGCCGGGCCTGTTTTTGTTTCAACACGTTAATTCATGCTGATTTGCGGGAATGAGCCCATCCATCTGCGGTGCCGTCTTCAGCCACAAGGTGGCAGATGCCCCGAACGGGCACGTGGCCTTGCAGTCAATGCAGCCCGGGTGGAGTCTGAAGGGGACGCCTGGGGTGTCCCCCCTCGGGGGCTGTTTCTAGGGTGACAGCAGGTATGGTCCCACAGAGCTTCCGACCCACTTGCGGGCCCCGCTGGGTCAAACAGAGGGCTGCCCCAACCCTTTCCTGGGTCCATTGGCTCGTTGCTCCTATTCACACAATGCCACTCGTGTCCGTGCTCTTTGCTGCGTTTACAGGGAGCTGGCTCCCTGCCCCAGGGCTTCGAATCTAAAATCAAACACGGGAACAAGGGACGACAGACAGAGACGGGTCAGGGCCATTCGGGGTCAACAGGCAGCGTCATGCCATCATTTCTGCGGCAGGAACTCAGGGTGCGCCCTGAGGATGGTAGCTCTGCAAACTGACAGGCTTCAGATCTCTGTCGATCGATTGCAAGAGGCAAGCAGCAAGATCTTGAGGTTTCCGCACATCCGGAGCTGAAACGAAGCAGAGGACTCGTGTGGGCAATTTCACAGCGCCTGCTTGGCTTTCTCTGGCTCCCTCTGTGTCCCAAAGGACAGAGCAGGAAGGGACCCAAGTTTTGCTTCAGGACAGAGCCAGGCAGGGCCTATTTCTCTCCGCGGGGACAGCTGCAGAGGTGGCATGAGAGCAGCGCTCCAGTTTCTGTGGGAAAGACTCGCATCGTTGGCGTGCAGTCATGAGCCTCTTTGCTCTGCAGTCTGATGTCCTGAGCGATGGCGGATGCCAGCTGCCCAAAGGGATGGCAGGGAGCCCCTCTGAAGGGCCAAATCAGAGATTTGTGGTCCTCCCTTGGCTCTTTCCTTTCGCTCAGCGCTGAGCCTTTACCCCATTGCATGTAATAGCGGCTGGGGGAAGGCTGGTATAAATGGAGAAAGTCCTTCACCCGGGTGCCCTCGCCCATATGACTTCTGAGCTCTTACTGAAGATGTTGATTATGGCTGTGCGCAAGATACTTGCTCATCACGGGAAGGCGTGTACTGAACAAGGCAAGGGAACGCAGACTTTCCAGTGGGCCAGAAAGCATCTCCACACGCTCCTCTTCAGCCCCCCTGCGTGCCTCAAATCTGCACCTTGGAGTGCCGATATCAGCAGGTGAGTCTTTTCACCGCGTGGTGATACATGTTACCATCTGTTCCTGATTTTTAGAAGAACAAAGCTCAAGCTGCTGTGAAAGGCATGGTGTCGGGGTCCAGCTGAAAAAAAGCCGGTCTCCTTAGAAGTAAGTAAAATGGCCCAGTGCACCCCATCCAACTGGGGGGACACAGCTGCTCTGAATACCCAAACTGCACCAGTTTCCTGTGCCATCTGGATCCGGTGGGGGCGGGTTGTTTCAGAGCTATGCAAGGGTTGTTTAACCCATGGCTTGAACCCTGAGAGCCACCCAGCCTGCTGCGACAGTGATCATGTGAACCCCATCTTAAAGAACATTCAGGAAGCACAAGAGGCCTGGACGTATCTGTGAATTATAGCAAGTGAAAGAAAACAAGTGAAAAGATGTGACAGAAGTATGGAAAAGAGCTAATTATACATCACATATCAGTAGAACTTTCTGTTCCAAAAAGTAAGTGCATGAACACCTAAATCAGACGTGGAGAACTACAGCTCAAATATTTAATATTTGCAGGGTTTGTGAATATCCTTGCATGCTAGGGGTGTAGACAAATTTTGTTTTAGTTCCCAAAACTTCCCAACGCAGCCTGTTTGCAGCCTCAAGCCTGTACAAGAGGCATGGCTTGGAGCCATGTTCGTGCATTCCCAAACTTATGATTGTGCTGGGGAAATGCTTTTTTTAAAGCACATTTTGAAATATTTATTTTTTGTCCATTTTCATGTTCGAGTTAATGGGGGCAAGTATACACTTTTGAGAAACGTGCAAAGAAATGCGTGCTTCTCCCATTCGAAAGGCACACTTTCCCTGTCTTAACAAACCGAAAAGCAGGTTGCAGAGAAGGGTGGAATGAGCCGCCGGAGCCACAGAGTGAAGCCTGCGGAATGTCACTCAGCGCACACACACACCGCTGGTCCTCGCACGCACGGATCGACCGCAGCGTCCAAAAGAGAGTTAATCCACCCGAATGCTTTTCAGGAGCCTGTAGAGATGGACTTACACAGCCGGCAACGGCGGGAAGGATGTTTCTGGTCTCCTCTGCT